GCAGCAGTGGTAACGTGTGTGTATAATGAACTCTCTGCCCCTTGGTGTAGATGACCAAGTAGTGCGCTCACTTTCGTTTCCGCTGACCGTTGATGATCTCCCAAATCTCCGAATCCAGATTTCCGCTCGAAGTCCACAGACGGATGTTGTAGTCCACAGCAGTAGGATGTCTTGACCTCCGTCGTGACGTCCGCAGCTCCTAGTGTTCGCGTAAAGCGAGGTTTATAACCTCACCAAATGTGGCGTCCTGCAGCAGCGGGGGTGGCGGTGCTGCTGTAGCTCGTNCTCAAGGGCCGGGAGGGAGGGGGAGAGTTCCACCTCCAAGACCCGGCCTTTGCGCGGCGACACAATAATAAAAATGGCATTTTCGGGAAGTGAGAGACAAAACTACAGTCTCGCCTGCCAAATTATCTCCGCTACAACTCTGTGCTCATGTTCTCTGCTGAGTACCATCTCTTCTTTCTGTATTATGTCTACGGAAGGCTAGTTGCCGCAGTCGCACCTATGGTAAACTGTGCCTGACTACGTTGTAACAATTTTCCTCGACACACTTATATAGCTAGACGACCCGACCGGCGTCACATTGGAGGGGGGGGCTGGACCCTCTCCTGCGGTTACTGCCTGAGATATTTTTATCGCGAGAAGGGCACAACATTTCCTTCCTTCGCGACTTGTGAAGTCGATCAAGTATACTAACAACGAGCTTTGCAGCGCGTCGCTTCCNATTCTGTCCTCATGTTCTCTGCTGAGTACCATCTCTTCTTTCTGTATTATGTCTACGGAAGGCTAGTTGCCGCAGTCGCACCTATGGTAAACTGTGCCTGACTACGTTGTAACAATTTTCCTCGACACACTTATATAGCTAGACGACCCGACCGGCGTCACATTGGAGGGGGGGGCTGGACCCTCTCCTGCGGTTACTGCCTGAGATATTTTTATCGCGAGAAGGGCACAACATTTCCTTCCTTCGCGACTTGTGAAGTCGATCAAGTATACTAACAACGAGCTTTGCAGCGCGTCGCTTCCAACTTAGACCAGGATCTATTTTAGTGAGAAAGAAGTCAATCTGCCGGGACTCCGACCCATGACCTGGCCCTTAGTGGGCTGGGAGAGTACCCACTAGACCACGGTGTATATGTATGTGGAGCTACGCATAGACACTCACGCACTTGCATAGCCCTGGTAGTGTACACGCAAAGAGGTATCGCGACGCTCTGCACGATCCAAAGCGGCGCCCGACAAAGGTGTAAGACATAGCCCAAATACTGTGAACTCTGCTGCAGTGCGCAGCAACGTTCGTCGACAGGAGGTGCTCCGCTCTGACTCGAGCTTTGGAACAATTCTGTCACGGCAGTGGAGTGCGTATTGCCATGTCAATCGTTACGTTCCGGTTTCCTTGTAGTACTGCCAGGTAGGAGATATCCCCAAGGAGTCGCGTTGCGCGGCGACCGTGATATGGCTACACGTATACGTGTATCTGTTGGTCGGCAGCATCATGTGGCAGGTGCACGACACGCGCAAGGTTGTTCGCATCGCGTTGAAGTATTCTTCGTCGTCGCACGGGGTATCCCATCCAGTCATGGTCGTTTCGGTAGGCAAACATTCGTGGTTAGACAATGTTCATTTTTTTTGTTTTCCCGTACCAGCAGTAAGAAATGTGTCGCGATACGACGGCCACCCTGTGAGTAAATAAATATAAAACATGATT